AACCTATCATAATGAATCTAAAATTTTCATGAAACCTTCAAGAACTCTTTTTTCCTGAACTTAACTCGTTTACAATTGAAATAAGAATCATAATATAACACATGATAATGGATGATGTCAAGGACATGTTCAAATCACTCATGCATTTCATCAAACACATGGTATGCACTATATGCGTAAACTGGATTTACTTGAATTAAAACTAATGGTACAACACCATTTCATTAACCAGTTTCCATAAGTGTGAATCCAATGAAAACTATATTCCCAATATGACCAACATAATCAGTCTCAATGGTGAATCTAAAAAAGTAAAGTCGGTATTTGATGAATTGTTTTACAAAATAGAGAATCAAATGCTTTTTTTTACCTCGATTTCTTGGATTATTGAAACCTTCTTGATGGTCGTCTGCCATTATGAGTTGTATTCTACCGTAATTGATATCTTCAACTGATCGCAATAATGAATTTATTATTGGTGAGTGATTACCGAGATTCGTATCTATAGTAATCTTCGTTACCGTGCGATTTCACAATTTCATCTCCCAATTTTAGCGGCAGTGTTGGCGTTCACGTTGGTTCGAATCTCCTTTTTCATGGCTGTCGTCAGTCATCCTTTGATCATCGCATCACATCGCATTCAGGCCATGTGATCCGCATCGGTCTTTTCCGGTTTCTTTATCGTTCCATTAATAAAACCAATCTTGTTCTTGGCAAACAAGAAATTTTCCATCTCTTGGGCCCAATCGTTGTAATTGTTGTCCGTCAGAGCATCATTGACGTGCATCTGCCATGGATAGTCTGACGGGTGGATGTAAAAAGGAGTTTACATCTAGACCATTCTTCTCATTCTTGTTTGTGTTGTTGTTGTCGTCGACCATGGTGCCAACTGCAGTTTCAGATTAGGTTTGATTGGATGAGCGGTGTTAGACCCGCTCTAATACCATAAAGAATTCCGTATCTTTATTGAGATTTTTTTATATTTTTGTGTGTATCTATAAAATACAAACGGAGGAAATATATACACCACCAAAATAACAAAGGGGCCTAAAAGCAAGGAGCTAAAAGAGGAGCTAGAGGAAACCCCAATAGAAAAGGATCAGTTACAACAAATAGACATGAGATGGAAACGGAAACTATTTTAAAATTCTATACCTGATGCATTGGTAATTGTTAATTTAAATGGCATCAGTCTATAAAAGTCCTGGATTCGCCATTGCTCACGTTACCATGCAAAGGTGGCTGTTGGGATGAATATCCCTACGATTCACGTACCATAGGTTGATCACCACATATTATAAGTGGACGTGCAACTTTAGATGCCTACTAATAAATTAGTGTAAACATATGCACACGATTAAATTTTACCGCAATTTCACACAAGGTAAAGGATAAAACATATGTACAACAATTGATCTCTCCCTATTGGACAAAGCCATCATGCGCTTGTCCTAGCTTCTGCATATCTTTAGTTGGCACATGTAGATGTATTTGTTGGGTCACCTATTGATTTGGTGATGACCCACTAAATTGTTCCTCTATCCTATCCACTCTCTGTAGTTATTGGTTTCTTTGTATATTGGTGTCTTGGTACATACTTAAAGTCATTGTCAAAATCGAAGACTAGCTGATGTGAAGACAGAAGGTCACCGATGCGGTAYTRTGRATCAACTGTCTAAATTACACACCAAGACTCTGGAGTAGCTGATATGAAGATTGAAAATAATTTGAAGCTACAAGCCGATTGAAGGAAGATTTTCATGCACCGAAGATTTGAAGGAAGATCTTCATGCACCGAAGATTTGAAGAAAGATCTTCAGACATCGAAGATTTGTAAGTAGCTGTTTGAAGCTACTAATCCATCCAAAGAAGATCTTCCTATAGACTGACTATATCTCTGCAAAAGTTTGTCTCTGCATGAATAGTATTGTATGCACGTTGTGTACATTGAAAAATAGAATATCAACAATGGTCAAGTCAATCCCTGCCTTCTTATCCTCGGGTGACAAGTGTCCCCATGCATTTAATATTGAAGATAGTATAAAAGGCAGTGTGTATCTCCCATGCAAACTACTGGCTTCCTTTAAAAGATCTCTAAGTGTATTCTCAAGGCAATCGGCTCTCCTCTTCTACTCCTTTACTCTCCTGTGTGTAAAGAAAAACTTAGTGTGTTCTTTATTTCCCTTCAAGTTCTCTCTGTGCTATTCTTGTAAGTTTTCTTTGTAAGATTGTTTATGTTAGGTTATCCTTTCTTTTCTTTCGCAACAATCTTTATTGTATCTATGTGTGTTAATTCTTGATATACATCAATACCAATTTAAAAAGTTAAAAAAGTCTTGTAATTGAATTCAATCCCCCTTTCCATAATTACTTTCTTTTTATCATCATCCCTTTCGGGACCAACAGTATTTGCGAATATCTCTCGATGATTTCAGTGGCGAACCCAAGATTTTTGTTGAGAGGGTCCACCTTTAAATTGGATCAAATGTCCATAGAGACGCTCGACGTGTTTTTAGCCGAATTCCGCATTTTTATAAGTTTTTTGGTTGGTTTCGAGAAAATTTTAAAGTTTTTTAATTGATTTTGAGATTTTTTATAAAGTTTTTTGGATGATTTTGAGAGACTTGTTCAATTTGTTGGGTAAATTTTGTATAATTTCTCAACTTTAAGGATTTGATCCCGTTATCTTTTACTTTTCTTTTCTCGATTTCTCATTTTGTTTTCTTATGCTTCTACAATTGTAGTACTAAATAGAATGTTTTGCAAATTAAAACTAGCTTAATCAAATTCTAAAAATCCTTAATTGATTAAACAATCAACAAAACAACAATTAAGGTGGAGAAACTAAAAATAAATTTAACGATCACTTTAACAAATATAAGGCAGATCTAGGGTAAAAATGTAGGTCAAGAATCACAACTCAATTACTCAAATATAAAAACTTAAAACAAACAAATAAATCATGTAAACATAATTGTATAATTAATTAATTTAGGACTAATGACGAACATCAAATTTAGGACAAAATTTTAAATTTGAGTTAGGTTTTGAGACAAAATCTGAATGAGAGATTAAGAGAGTGATTGAGTGAACGTGAGAGCCAGGGAAAGTGAGATTTGAGAGAGCTGGCCGGAGCGATGGATCCTGAGAGGCTGAGAGTGAGAGAATGGGGCGCTGGGCATATGCTTCAAGTTTCGAAAGCTCTCGCCACTCTTTGTGTTTAAAAATGAGAACCCCCTCCGCAGGGGCGGAGTCAGAATGTTTATCTAAGGGGAGCCAAAAAACATAGTGTAAGAAAATTTACGATTTTACTGTTAAAAAGACCTTTTTAAAAGATACGTTTTTACGAATACTTGACAATAGTTGTTAAAAAAAATAGGGGGTAGACAATATGACCATGTCTATTTTAGATAAACAAAGATAAACAAACACAAGATTTAACTATAAATGTAGATAAACTTGTAAATATTAAAACCTTCTGAAAATATTTGAAATTGTCATAAGAAACTTTGTTATTTAACAGAATCTTATACAAAGATTTGGAGTTTTAGATGAAGAAAATGGTTAATTTGGTATTAATAAACAATAAACAAAATTAGAGGGAAAATAAAGTTTTGACCCCTGTATTAAAAGGTTTCGGGTATCCGCTTCCTAAAATATTAAAATTTTGTTATTTAAAAATAAAAAATAAAACATTGCCAAAACACTAAATAAATAAACAATAATACAAATTATACGAAATAATGGTTATAAATATTGTTTAACGATTACAAACCATAATAGACTAATAGTAAATGTTGAAAGTTTAACGATTACATACTATAATTGTAAAAATTCAAAATTTAACGATTACATACTACGAATCCAATTAAACACACAATTTGAATAAATACAAATAATTTTATCTCAAATTCTAAATATAGAGTTCTAAGTTCTTGACTTAATTTAAATTTAGTATTAAAAAAATTAATTTTTTTTAATTGAAAAAATACCGGGTACCCGTCGGTTCCGGTTCAGGGTACCCGCCGGTCCCAGCGGGTAACGGTTCCGAAAAATTGAGAACCGGAACTGGAGTCATTCTCAAGCGGTTCTGTATTTTAGGAACCGAAATCGGAACCACTCATATCGGTTCCGGTTTTGAAACCGACAGTTCCAAGATAGTTCCGGTTTCGCAAGTGGGTACCCGGTTCCGCTGCTCATCCCTAGATAAGCCTATTCCCTTAGCATATACGAACATGGTAGCAATACCGTGTGAAAGCACCAAATCATACTAGGGATTGGATAAGAACCGATAAACAATGAAATTTCAGGGGCTGATTTTAATAATGGTTAGCATTTTGATTTGTTAATTCGTTAGTACTTTTATGTTCTAGGTTTTTTCTGGAATTATATAATATTTTTATACGATAAATATTCAAAAACGTTTCTGGTTTGAAAAATATGATTTACAAAATAAATAGAGATTCAAGATAAAGTTGGTAAAATGATCAAAACACCCCCTCGCATGCAAGACAATGAAGACATGGCTCGGGTTTTACGACCTCTGAAATAGTGACCAAACTGTAATAAATAAAAGTTTTTAGACTAAACCTACAAATTATGAATAAACCAGGGACTAAATCTGTATTTTACTCTGTTTTTTGTTGTTGAAGTCTATATAAGAGGATAGAATGGCCTCAAAATCCACTGTATTTGCATCTCTGAACAGAATAGTAGAGATGAGTCTGCAGTGTTGTTTTGGTGGAACCACGATTCAAACCCTAAAGCTCGCATCAATTCCATCAAGGATGTATTCATCATCATCACTTCGATCCTCCACCGCCATTTCCAGACGCTTAACTCTCTTCAAAACCCTAACCGTAACTCTCTCACGCAACTCGATACACCGGTTTCCATTTTTCATCAGAGCGCTATCCTCGGCGGCCGCTGCACCACAACCGGTTGTTGATTCCCCCGCCACTGCTTCAGTGGATTACTGTAATATTTCTTGAATTTATTATATAATTTCCTTTCTTCTATACATTTTGTCTTTCCCTAGTTCTATGTTGCGAAAGCTGGACCTGAGAATGAATTTGTATCTGTGGTAAGGATTGCGTCAAATTTTGATGGCTATAGTTTCTACTTGATGACGTGTGGTCTTGTCTGCTGGTCTTCAGTGCTCCGAGCTTGGACCCGAAAAGGAGTGAATGTGAAAGGGAGTGTTCCTCCGATTGTGAGGCGTGAAATTGTGATGGCTATACTATGTACTTGGTGACATACCTTCCCTTACATAACAAGGCAGGTTGGTTAAGCATTGCCACCAGGTCGTCTTGACAAGGCTCGCCTCCTTTCCGGCTAACATTGATTTGAGGCTCTGGCAGGCATGCTCTGCTAAGTAGGTTGGGTCTAGTAGACGTTTTATTGGTATGAAAGGGAAACAAAAAGGTAGTATGAGGAATCTTTTGTGCATGAGGAATGTTCTGTTACTGTAGAGGATGGGAGTCAAATAAGATATCCCATTAGTTGGATTTCTGCGGGTGACCCCCTTATGTTTCTCAGAGTCGACTTTCTATTAGTCAAGATTTGAAGGCCGTATTGGGATTGAATATCTGAAAAAAAATAGTGTGGAAATTTTAATGTTGCATCCTACATGTTAATTGCCATCAATGTGAATGCACAACTTATAATCTGATTCTCAAAGCAAATTGGTTGCGCATATAGGTGGGAATGTGGATGTAGGCATTTGCCTCTTTACAATCTCCAAGTTCTATTCTGACTCATTTATGTCATTGATACGTTGCAGTTGTAAAACCTCAGTGGAAAGCAGCTATAGATTTCAAGTCAATTCTAGAGAATAAAACGGCTGCGGCAGCAAACCTGAATAACAGGAATTCTAACGCCAACCTGGAATTAGTTATTGAGCTCTATGAGAGGTTGCTGGAACTTCAAAAGGTTAGGGGTCTATCAATTCAACTATAAAAGTTTGCATTGAAGCAGAGTTTGAATTTTGCTGTCTTTGCAAAGATCGCATAGGATCAAGTTTGCCATCTATTTGGAATTCTCTTTGCTATATTCCAATTATTGTCATATATTGCTGAACAAATTTCCATCAGGTGAGGCTAAGTTTGAATGATAGATTCAACGATGAGGAACCATTTCTTTCCATAATATTGAGGTAGTGGCAGGCCATGCTAGATCCAGCTGAATCTCACATTTTTTTTAATCTATAATGCTAATGCATAACTCTATATACTTTTCACACTAAATTCTGCAATTCACTCATGTCATGCAGCTATGGTGATTTTGTATATTGATGAAATCAGTTGAACAGAAGGAACCACTCTTGTAAAAACCTTTCTCATCAAATTCTGTTTTAACTTCAAACTCAGTTACACATTAATACCCTACTGAATTTGATGAACACTCTACTTCACATGGTATATTCATATTTGTTCCGTCCATACTGTGCTTCAATGTTTTTAGTGAAGATACATTTTTGTCGATAGCAAGTCTTGTTTTTCAGATAGGACTAGTGGACGGGCAATAGTTTCCTGCAACATAGATTGAATCGTTGCAAGTTCACATTTCTCAGAAAGACTGGATTATTGTCTTGTAGCTAATTGTTGCTCGCAGATAGCAGGAAGTTGAAGAGCTCCGTTATGAGAGAAATACAGTTGCAAACAAGATGAAAGGAAAAGTGGAGCCATTGGAGCGTCAAAGACTCATAGAAGAAGGTATATGCAGATTTTTTTTTCATGTTCAAAAAATGTATGGTTTCTACTCCCAGTTGTGCTCAGACTTCCAATGGAACTTCTCTAGGAAAGAGTTTGAAGGAAAAACTGCTTACACTGGAAGAAGATCTTGTCAAACTTACTGATGCACTTCAACGAGAAGCACAATGTATTCCCAATATGACACATCCAGATGTTCCAATAGGAGGGGAAGATAGTTCAACGATTAGAAATATGGTATCTCTCTTCTTCCCGCATCCCGCCCTCCCTCTCTTATTGGATCCTCAACTTTCCCATAATTTTGTAGGTTGGTGCCCCCCATGAGTTCACCTTTCCCATCAAGGACCATGTACAACTTGGGAAAGAACTAGATCTTTTTGATTTTGATGCTGCTGCTGAGGTATTATTTCTGACTCATGGTATTATAATGTTGGTAGTTTTTATCAATGAAGAGGCTCAATTTTTGTTCCTTTTGGTTTCTTCTTAGCAAACATTTCATACAAAGCGATAGAAGTTTGATTCAACGTCTGGTGTTCGATCATGCATGATGCTTTTGTACTGTTTTTGAGGTTTCATTTTGTTTCGGTTATTGTATTATTATTTTTCTTTTTGTGTGGAGAAACAGAGGGCAACATAAGTTTCTCCATTTTTTTCACTTACCCCTTTCATAGCCCGGGAACTATTTTATCTATTGCATGGAAATTCGTTTTACTTTATATTTAAAATCTCTTTTTTCACACTATGTGGTTGAACAAGATTCTGTCATGAGCAATGTCAAGTATTACTTGCACAAGTTTTAGTGCTGTTAGGGGTGAAATCTTCTTCTACGTTATCATTTCAGAACTAGTTCTTTAGCATGAAAAATCATTTTTAAACAAGCTAAAGCTAACGTGTGAAACAATGTTAAATTGTTAATGAGCACTCTCAATTTTAGTTGTTCTTTTTAATTAAAGCGAAGTTTTAGATTCATGTTATTTGTTCTTATTTTCTTAACTGTGTGTCAGACTAGATAAGCCCGCGTGGTTTGGAAAATTCCAACTGCAGTAGATGTTTAAGAGATAGAATTACATTGTGACTTAAGCTTGCATCTGTTTTGACAGGTTAGTGGATCAAAATTCTACTACCTCAAGAATGAAGCGGTTCTACTAGAGATGGGTCTTATAAACTGGACGTTGTCAGAAGTCATGAAAAGGGGTTTTATTCCTCTTACAACCCCAGAAATTGCTAGGTCCTTGGTGGTTGAAAAGTGTGGCTTCCAACCTCGTGGAGATAACACTCAGGTACATAGATCTGTGCTTTGGTCAATTGCTGCTGTGTGCTCTCAATAGTTCTATTAATGCATGCTGGGCTTTGGTCTGTCGCTTCGACTAGCCTCTACTAGGGCTATAGCTTGAAAGTGCTTACAAGATTTTAGTTGAACGGGTTCAGTAGTTACTCTGTAAGTTCTTGATATTCTTTAGTGCTGCCAACTCATGACTTGGTTCATGAGGAGACTTCATTGCCAAGAGACGATACTGTGAATTTTTTTACTGCTTTTCAATTCATTATTAGGCTCATCTGTCCGTATCTGATACTTTTTATCATTGACACATTCTGATATAAGTATATTTACCCAGTTACTGATTTGTTATGGAATAATTTTGAAAATACTAGTTTGTTAAGCATAGAGACATGGAAATTTTTTATAAGGAAAGTTTGTACAGGATAATCAAACGACTCAAGTGAAGTCTTAATATGCTGCTACTTTTTAACACTTCATTTTATCATTTGTCCTTGATGTAATACTTGATATAACATGCACTTTTTTGAGTGGGCCGTGTTAGATTGGGCATATCTTAATGCTTATCACATATGCTTGCCATGTATCACTGTATCATGTAATCATGACAAGTAGGAGTCGTTATTGTGATTATGACCTGAGGGTTAGTTGAGTTACTCTCCTCTGATATATTTTACCCTATGCTACAGGTTTACTCTATTGAGGGCACTGATCAATGCCTGATTGGGACTGCAGAGATCCCTGTTGGGGGAATACACATGGACTCTATTCTTGCTGACTCATCATTACCTTTAAAATATGTAGCATATTCCCATTGCTTTCGTACAGAAGCTGGTGCAGCTGGAGCTGCTACTAGGTATTGGTCGTTGGAGACATCTTGATCATAGATCTCTGTTTTTATTAGTGCATTCTGTCTTTCACCGTTGAACTAAAACTAACTTTTCTAGCTACATGATTGGTAGTTTAAACCATATTCTTTTATCCTTTTTTTTCCCTTTTTTGTAGGATTTGTTTATCTTACATGCCTCCTTTTGCACTATCTAAATCAAAGCTACATTGTTTTGCTTCCAATGAAGTGATGGAAACTTATTAGACTGGTACTATATTACAGATGTTACATACTAGTGCCCTGCCATGAAATTGTAGTACTTTCCATTTTAGTAAGTTTGTGTCAGAATTTCCTATTTGCTTCTATTACAACTTATTGATTCTATTGATTTTGATCATAACATTCCATTATGTCTTCAACATTTAGACATTTGACTGGTAGTCAAAGAATTTCATGAACCTATTTCAGCTTAAATGTTCTAATTTTTTTGGGATCAGATAGACTCTTTGATTTCTGTGGAACTTGCTATTGTATGCATGTTTATTACATTAGGTTGATGATATCAACGCATTGAGTTTATATGCATTGTTAGAGTATTTGATTATGGCAGCATTTTTTATTATATACATCCTTATTATATTTTGTTGACACCAATACACTTTTTGAGTTTACAAGCTTTGGTACAATTTCTGTTACAGTTGAGGCTTGATTCATTAGTGGTTTTTTGGGAGCAGGGGCCTATACCGAGTACACCAGTTTAGCAAGGTGGAGATGTTCATACTATGCCGACCTGAGGAAAGTAATGCTTACCATGAAGAGCTAATTGCAATCGAAGAGGATCTCTTTTCAAAATTAGGACTCCATTTCAAGTGGGGCTTTTAATTCCCTTTCACCTCTTGTGATTTAGAATTTCATCAGTTTAATCACGATTTTTGACTCTTAGTTTAATGGTTTCATAACAGAACGTTGGATATGGCGACTGGGGATTTAGGTGCACCTGCTTACCGTAAATATGATGTTGAAGCCTGGATGCCAGGTTTGGGACGATATGGTGAGGTATGCTCTATATGACTTCAACCGGCTGCATACTTTTTACCCCCTCAATTTTGTGTCAGAATTTAAATTAGAATCTCTGTTATTATGATATGCATCCTCACCGTACATATTTTTTTTGGCAAATTTTTCATAAACATCTTTTAATGTAAAATGTTCCTAACAAAGTCTATTACATAAAACTTGTTTTGGGACACCAAAAAAAGTGAACCAGAGATCTCTTATCTACTAATCATGTCAATTTTTATTTATTTATTTAGGCAGAGCAAATGTTTGCAATCATCAAGTCCTAGATGATCCTATATGGAGACCATATTTATCAACCATAAACTAGCTTATTTTTTGAGCTTATTTAGAAAGCCTTGTTTGGTTGGCTATAAGCTAGCTTTTTTAAAAGCTACCTCAAGTAGCGTTTTAGAAAGCTCCAGGAGGGTTTTTTTCCACTATTTCCCAATTATGCCACTTATATATTTTTTCAGTTAAATTTTCAACATGTTCTTTTATTATATATTTTTCCAATTAAATTTTCAACATGTTCTTTTATGTCATTTTGCATTGTCATCTAGCATATCAACTAGTTGTAACAAAACATGACAAATTTATCAACCAACTTATCTGACAACAACTAGCTTATCAACTAGATAGCCAAACGTAGCCTATAGGGTTGAAGCCATGTTAAAAATATGCTTCAAGTTCATTGGATGCTGATACCACAAATTTCTGTCCTACTTGCTTGCCATCTTTTCATATTTATCAATCTATGTACTACTCTGTCTGTCCCAAGGAAAGAGTCCATATGGTAATCCTACAAAGTCTTTTAACAACTACAAAATATTCTTTTTGGAAAAAGTAACTACTCCTGAACTGTACCTGCTGGTGTCATTCTGAACCTGTCTTGTGTAATTGAATTTGTATTTTGCAGATATCAAGTGCTTCAAATTGTACAGACTATCAGAGCCGTAGATTGGGAATACGATTCCGTCCAGAATCAACAAATCCCACAAATACAAAGAAAAGTAAAAGCCGCAATGTAAACCCACCAGAATTTGTGCACACGCTAAACGCGACTGCGTGTGCAGTTCCTCGCATGATTGTGTGTTTACTTGAGAACTACCAGCAAGAAGATGGATCTGTTGTTATCCCAGAACCATTAAGGCCTTTCATGGGTGGGATTCAGGTAATAACTCCTAAATTAAAATAGCTTATAGAATTTCATCAAACCATATAGCCATCGGTTTTAGATCCATCTTGATTCTTAATTTTTGGGTTGGTTTCCTAGTTTTTTTTTGGTTCTGCTGCTCAAAGAAGACATTGGAGGACTTTGTGAATCCTGGAAAAGTGTTGTATGGATATATAAACTTGTACAAGGAAAGATTACATAGAATATCATATATGATATTCAAACTAGGAAACAATTCAAATAGTTTATGAAGTTATATTAACTATCACCCCTCCTTAAGTCGAAATTGAGGGTTTGAAGGAAGATGGCAGGTCTTTAGTGAAAATATTGGCATACCGAGACAAAGGTGACACATGAACTTGGCCTAGAGCAACCTTTTAACGTACAAAATGTATATCTATCTCAACTTGTTCAATCCACCGGTGTTGTACTAGATTAGACTCACGACACTGATATTATTACAATAGAGGATCGTGGCTTTTTGAAAAGGACAATGTACTTCTAGTAGCAAATTCTGAAGCCATGGAGCAGAAGAGAGTGGGTTGATGCTTATGACCAATAAAGAAGGTGAAGGTCGTCAGCTAAGTACACACAATAACCTTGGCCAAAGGCTCTTCGGTCACCGTAGAGACGGTTTTTGAATTAGCGTTGTTTTGATTTTCTTTTACGAGTTCGGTGGTGATTGTTGAGATAAACTTAGGATCCCTTTGGTTTAATGGAATGAAATGAAATTGGGGGGTTTGAATTTTAAATCCATTCAGATCATGTCATGTGTTTGGTATGCAGGATTGATTCCTAGGATTCTATTGAAATCCCTTAAACATAGGATTTCGAAGTCCACGGGGTGGTTTTGGGGTTTTGTAGGATTTGTATATAATAATGTTTTAAAATATGTTAAAAACCTTTTTTTTTCCTAATAATTCATTGATAAAAAGGTAATTTAATTATTTTTATAATTGTTTATAAAAAATTGAATTCCATTCTTTATCCATCAAATCAAACACTTGATTAGGAGATTTCAAATCCAAATCCATTGTGAAATTCAAATCCCTCAAAATTATTCCACCAAACAAATAAAAACAAGCTAGAATCTAAAATGATTCCTCAATCACCTTTACTGAACAAGATTATATAGAACCGAATATACTATTATTGCAAGAGTTGTGATACAATATTATATACTATTATTGCAAGAGTTGTGATACAATATTAGAGCTCTACTCGATCAATACGAACAACTTTGATACTCCTCTTTCGTTTGTCCCTCAACTAACAAAAGAAAATTATGGTAAATGGAGTATCCAAATGAAAGGCTCTTGGATCTCAAGAAGAATGAATTAGTTGAAAGGGGACATAACAAAGTTGAAAATGAGGAAGAATTAGCACAAGCTCTAAGGGGGATTTAAGAAGATCACGGAGAAAAAAAATCAACAATCTTTGTTTTGGATATAATGAGTACAATTGTTTGAAATCGCTTGGGAGAATATAGCTTGTGCCACTTTGGCAAAGCAAACATGAGATATTTTACGAACTTCATTCTAAAGAAGATGACAAGGTAAAAAGAGTTCGGTTGCAAACTCTTCGAAGAGAGTTTGAAAGTTTGCATAAAATGGAGTCGGAATCCGTTTTCGATTATTGTTTGTGGGTATTGTTTGTAGTTAACCAATTAAAAGGAAATATTGAAGATATGGATGATATTCGTGTCATTGAAAAAAAAATCCTCTGTTCTTTAGATTCTTGATTTGACTACGTAGTGGTAGCCATTGAAGAATTTAAGGACTTAACCACCATGACCATTAATAAACTCACAGACTCATTGCAAGCTCATAAAGAGAGATTAAATAAGACGAAGAAGGAAGTAGTTTTGGATTAAGCACTTCAGTCAAAGTTGTCTCTAAAGGAGAAGAAGGACGATTTCAAAAACCAAAGAGGTGGATTTCATGGTCATGGTTATGGTTGGGACGAAGCAAAACAAACTCAAAATTTCAGAGGTCCCAAAGAGGAGTGGCCGTGGGAATCAAAGAGGAAGAGGTTGTGGTTATATTGAATGTTTCGGTTGCCATAAACTTAGTCATTTGGTGAGCGAATGTGGGTATAAAAAAGAAGAAAAACATGATACTAATTGGGTGTCTGGAAATAGAAACCAAGTGCATTACAATCAAGACATTTTGTTGTTCATGTCTCCGTGGTGGAGATTGTGAAGATATATGGTAGATAGTGGTGCTAGCAAACATATGGCAGACAACAAAAATTTATTTTCCAAGTTGTTTGAAAGTAACTTTGGAGAAGTTCAAGTTGAAGATGGAAAATCATACAGAGTGATGGTAAGAGGTTTGCCTAAAATTGATCGTCTTGATGATATTTGCGAGGCGTGTCAATTTGGAAAGCAACATAAAAATTCTTTTCCTTCTCAATCCTTATGGAAAGCAAAAAGACCATTGGAGCTTATTCACTAAGATATCTATGGTTCGATGACAGTTTCATCTTTGGGAGGTAATCAATATTTTACCTCTTTTATTGATGATTACACACGGAAAGTTTGGGTGTACAATGTCAAAAAAAATCAAACTCTTTTCAGAAATTCAAAGATTTTAAAGCAGAAATGGAGAATTTTACAATGCTAAAGATAACACTTTATGAACGGACTGTAATGGTGAATAACTTTCAAATGATTTTGAGAAATATTGCAATGACATTGACATTCGGCATGAGATGACAGTCCGTTATACACCACAACAAAATCGTGAGTGAAAGAAAGAATCAAACAATTATGGAGATGGCTAGATGTCTTTTAAAAAATAAGAGGTTGCCAAGAAGTTTTTGGGCCGAAGCTATTTCATGTGCAGTTTATCTAATTAACAAGCCACTGACAAGGAGTTTGCAGAATTATATGCCACATGAAGCATGGTATGGTACAAGACCTAGTGTTCATCATCTAAAAGTATTGGGATTGTTGCTTACTCTCATATTCCCGATGCAATGAGAAGAAAGTTGGACTAGTCTGAGAAATGTATTTTCATTGGCTATAGTGAAATAAGCAAGAGGCATACAAGTTGTATAATCTGGTGAAAAGAAGATTGTGATAAGTCAAGATGTTAAGTTTGATGAAAATTCCTTCTTTAAGGAGATGGAAGTTGAGAATGAAAATTTGCCAATCTTTCCTTTTCAACTTGAAGAAGAAAAGGAGGAAGTGTTTGAGAATGTCGGAAATGATGATCAATGAATAAATCCTCCTACTTTCGCAAGTTCTTTTTCAAGCAATTCAATAAGAAAAACAAGAAGTCTTCGAGTTCTGTGACGCTACTAATGAAGTTTAACAAGATGATACTATATTTTTTTGCTTTCTTTGCAGGGGAAGATCTAATTTCTTTTGACGATGCTTATCAAGAAGAAATATGGAGGAAAGCTATGAAAGAAGAGATCGAATCGATTGAAAATAATGATACATTGGAGCTTACCGATTTGCCTCCACAAAAAGATCTACTGGAGTAAAATGGGTGTACAAGAGAAAGATGAATCAAGATGGTTCTATCAATAAGCACAAGGCAAGACTAGTTGCTACAAGATACAAACAAAATGAAGGAGAAGATTTTACAAAAGTATTTACTCCCATTTCAAGACTTGAGACGACTCAATTACTTATTTCTCTTACTGCTCAAAACAATAGTAGTTTCAAATGGATGTAAAATCCGTGTTCTTGAAAAGTGTGCTCAAAGAAGAAGTCTATATTGATCAACCACTTGGGTTTATCAAGAAAGGAGAAGAAAAGAAAATGTACTAGTTGAAGAAAACGTTCGATTGGTTGAAACAATCACCTCGAGCTTGGTATAGCCACATCAATTCTTACTTTATGAAATATGGATTTAATAAATGTCCATTTGAGCATACTCTTTACATCAAAAGCGATCCTCATGAAAGATTCATGGTTGGTAGTCTCTATGTTGATGATCTTATTTTCACAATAAATGGTGTGAAGATGTTGAATGGATTCAAGCAATCAATGATGGGAGAACTTGATATGATAGATTTGGGAGAACATCATTTTCTTGGCATTGAAGTTCATCAATCCAAGAAAAGGATTTTTATCTCACAATGAGAATTATGCAAAAGAAGTTCTAAAAAGTTCAAGATGGAGAATGTTAATCCTGTCTTTATTCCTGTTGGTCCCGTTAGGGTCTACAAGATGTGTATAATGGTTTGTAGAAATTGGGGGAGGAATACAAACACAAAAACTTTTCAAATTTAAAATGTATATTGATAAAGAAGGATCAATACAGATTTTACAAGATTGTTTGCAGAAAGATAAGGTAAAGATAACCTATCTAAACAATCTAAGTTACACGCTAATTCTTAGCAAAGAGAAATGATTTGCTGTTTAAGACTTAAAAGAAAGTAAGTTCTTTCTAGTTAAGAACTATTTAGAATACTTAAAAGAGATTCTAACTTGCTTTTGAAGATAAGCGTAATATGTTCTTTAGATGTGTGTTCTTTCACGTATGAACGTAAGTTAGGGTTCAAGAGATATCTCTGCATGAAGATAGAAAACATCTATTTATACCCATTGCATTAAATGAACATTTAATGCACTGTAGTGGGGTTTGAACATGCGTCAAGCCTTTAGAGAAAGACTTGTCCTTTGCTATATAGTGAATCTATTCATGAGCATACATCATTTCATGAAGTTGGTGGATAGTAGAGTCAACTAATCTGCTTTGTACCGTACTATGCTCTAGAAAGGGTATGGGTTTGTTCTTTGTGTGTGTGAGGACAAGATAAAAAAAATTGTGCTCAACAAGATTTTTTTGATCGCTGAATGCTGGAATAACCTGAAGGTCTCTTCAGCATTCGTTGAGGCTTGGGCAGTTTTCACACATATGTAGACTAGGTTGTAATCATTGAATGCCGCTTCAGCTCACGAACTCGCCAGTCTCTAATCTTCAGTTTCAGTCTTCGACTTTCGTTGAAGGTTCATTGGTGTGAGTTTTGTCTTCTTGAAGTATCGCTGTTGCTGATGAACTTACATTACATGTTCTCAACGATCATTGAACAGACTTAGTGATTATCGCTGGAACTGAAAGACAGAAACATAAATACTTCGTATAAGGTAAAAGAGATTATCATCAAGTCATTGAGAGAGAGGATCAACAACTCCATGCATCACATATTTGAAGTTATCTGAGGAAGGTGAATGTAAACATGTCAATCCTACTATATTCAGGAATCTTTGTGGGAACTTGATGTATCTAACTTCTACAAGGCCTGAGATCGTGTATGCTGTTAGCTTGTTTAGTAGATTCATGGAGAAACTTTGTTCTAACCATTAGGAGGTTGCCAAGAGAATTTTGAGATATGTTAAAGGAACCATTGATTATGGAGTTTTTTTTATGAGGCTAATGTTCCGTTCAACCTAATTGGTTACACCGATAGTGACTTAGGAGGAAATATTGATGATAGTATAAGCACTTCTAGGTATGTATTTAATCTTGAAAGTGGTGCAATTTCATGGACCTCAAAGAAACAACCAATTGTCGCGCTTTCTATTACGAAAGCTGAATATATAGCCCTTATGCAGGATGTCAACAAATCTGGTTGCGTGGAATTGTGGAAAGTCTCAGTCAGCAACAAAACTAGTTAACTACTTTGTTTTGTGGCAATAGCTCAACTATTTCTGTCACAAAGGATCCATGGAAGGACGAAACATATTTACATCTGATATCATTTTTCGAGAGAAATTGTGAATGAAGGAGTTGTTCATGTTGATTATCATGAGATAGAAGATCAAGTAGTAGAGATTTCACCAAATCACAAAGTGGACAGATCTTCAAGAAAAATGTTCAAAGATTGGGAGTAAGGAGCAAGTTCCATTTAGGGGAGGCATTGTTGGCATAAAATAAATAAACTTGCATGTTTCTAGCATATTTTTGTGTCTAAGGGACCGTTTACCCAATTGCTTACCCGGTATGCGCTTACCGATAGGAGTCAACACTATGATTTATTTTGATGCGTAAGATTTTAGTACATCAAAACATATCGAATGCAACAATTTAATGGGTAAGCACTTACTTGGGTAAGAGTCGTCATCCTCACTTACCGGGTAAGACTCTCCATCATTCTCATCGCTTTTACCCGATAAGATTTTTGACCCTTCTCATGTTCATCCGATTAAGAAATTTATCCGATAAACACTTACCAAGTAAGTGTTTAGTAAATGGCCCCTAAGTTCATGTAAAACACCTAGAAATATGAGGAGTTTAGTGGTAAATATAGGAGTAAATAATTTACCTATAAATATCTTTCATATTTGCATTATAAATGTGAACCAATAAGAAAAAAGAAAGAGAGAATTCAAATTCTCTATCTATTCTTCATTTTTGTTATTTATTCAACGATCTATATCCTAAATTTCATGCCGTTCCAAGTCAAAATTGTGACAACATAATTAATCGAGTAAAGTTCTTCGAAAAAATAATATTCACAACTTATATTTTACTTGTTTTATTATTAACAAGACTTAAAATATTACGATTTTAAATAGATTAAGGAGTTTCATTATAGGTTAATTTTCTTTAACTTTGAAGAATTCATTCGACTGTAATCCAAGATTCAAAATTTGATGATAAAATACGTGTCATCAAACGTTCATAATTCAACAATGATGTTACTCAAACATCCATGCCGTATAATAATCTAAAACAACTATCTAAATACCGATTAAAAACCTAAATTGTAAAAACTTATGATTTGATGCAATAAAAAACTACTAATGACCATTCAAAGTGTGACATAATAACATCCACAAAAGTCAAGGAAAAACATATCATATTTGCTAAACGACGGATGTAACTATAACGGTTTTAAGGTAATGAAATTTCTTTGATTTTGGTGCATTTCTTGTAATTTTCAAATAACTGAAACTAATTGGCCGTTTATCCAAATGCTTACCCGATAAACGCTTATCGGTAGGAGTCAACACTATAGTCTATTTAACCAGGTAAGATGGTAGTGTATTAAAATGATATCATATGTAACTATTTACCCGATAAACGCTTACCCGGGTAAGAGACATCATCATCACTTATCGGGTAAGACACCTTTATCTTTATTATTGCTTTTACTGGGTCAGATTTTCAATTCTTACCATGTTCATTAGATAGGGAAAATTACTTGATAAACACTTACCAGGTAAATGTTTAATAAACGACCCCTAAAAACCAGTATTGACATATATAATAAAGTTTTCATTTCATACATTTTGCAAGTTAAAACAACAATATACCATCATTGTATTTATGTATAATGAAAAAAAGAAAAAAGAAAAGAAAATACGTATCCTCGTAAATTTCCATTTCTTTAATCACACGAGTGTCTTGCATTTGGAAGTCTTTGGGTCCCACATAGCCGGCAATAAATACTTGCGCTGCTTCACACCTTGTGCATTGTAGCTAGCTTTCGTCTTTTTATCCGTCAAAACTGTTCCTGGGTACCCGGGAAAAGCACCCGACCCGAAAATACCCGTGCAAGCCGTAACCGCCTCCAATGGAGCAGTAGCTGGACCCTGAAAATACCCGCCATCAAATGGGTTCGTCACAGTCCCCGCCAGAACCGTCGCCAGGTTGATCACCATGCCGTCGACGCCAATGTCGCCGTTGGGAGCCACCAACGATGGTAGTTTTGGGCCATACATCGGCTGAGCAAAAGGCCAAGCGCATTGACCCGGGCACTGAGTTGCCGAGTTACCCACCCACGCGTAGGCGAAATTGTGGCCTTTGTTCACCCGAGTCGACCCGTGAGTCCCACAGCGATTCATGCAAAACCCGGCCACAGCGACGTCAGCGGCCGTCAGCACCACGCTGATGACATTAAAACCTTTAGATTTAGAAGCCAAAGAAATTAGATGCGATTCTTTAAGCGATTTCCCAAGCGAGCATTTTTTGTCGACGATTTGTTTCCCAACGTGTATGGTCCGCAAGCCACCTTTGTATCTGGTGGTGGTTTGCCACCACGAAGCAGCGGAAGGCGGTGGCGGAAGGCGGGTGTTTAGAGATTTGAGAAAGTCGAGGATGACGGTTTTCTGGGCGGGCGAAAAGTTGCCGTACCACAGGAGGTTGACGGTGATGTTGCCATGGAGAAGAGACCCCTTATGGTAAGTGAGGAGGGTGGGTGGTGTCTGAACGACGGCAAGTCTCCGAGGGATGGTGGCAGAGCTGGAGTTGATTAGGGTTGAGATGATGAGGAGAAATGAAGCTAAAATGGTGAAATTGGAAACCATGGTTGTTTTGAGGATGAGCTTTAGGTGGAGGGAGTATATACATATATATACGTATACACACACGTATATATATACGTAAGAGGTGAGGGTGGAGTGGGATGCATGTTTAGCAAAAGGAAGCCGCGTTGTTTAATTTGACATTGAAATACCAGATTCATAATATATGGGTGATGTTTAGTTGAAATTTTAGGTTTTAGTTGTTTTCTATTTCTATTTTAAGGATAAAGTTGTCTGTGTAAATTAAAATGAAGAGTTTTTTTATAGCTTAAGAGAACATGTTAGGATTTTTTTCTAACTTTCTGTATAAAGTTATCTATGTAGAAATTTACTGGATAAACCATTTTTTATATCATTAAATTACTACCTCTTAGTCATGTGTAGTGGACCAAATATGTTGTGAGTCTAATTAAACTCATTAAATTGATAACAAATAAACTTTAATTTAAATTTGTTAAAGGAATTGAAATATAGAAAATTGAAATAGAACAAGACTAATTCCAATAAGTTACGAGTGTAGATTTGATAAACTTAATAACGAATTGTTGTGGACACCTGAATATTTAAAGGATATTTTTTGAAATACAAAAACCAGACAATTTTGAAAACATGTAATTGACAGTTTTAACATAACGTTTGACTGTAAAATATATTTACCATATAGATTTTATTTTACATGCTATGATTAATCAAATTAAATCTTACAAACTTACTCAAATGGCAAAAAAAATTGTTGGGTTATTGTGTTTTTCCAATGGTATCGCCACTACAAAGATGAACCTATAACGAACCATTATAAACATTTATATAAAGATATTTCAATAAATTGGTTTTTTTATTAACTTTGATATCCAATCCGCTATGCAAGCCGACTAATCCCAGGACAACCATCTGCTTTGCAGGTAGACCGAAGTCATCGCATTTGAACCTCCGTGGCCACAAGAAGATTTTTTTTCCTTCTTGGATTTGAACCTGGGACTTCCAGACACTTTTGACTTTTGAAGCCAACCTCAAACTAATCAGGCACCACCCTTATGATACATTTCAATAAATTGTTAAAAGAAAGTCATACAAGTTGGTCATATGTTGTCATAATGAAGTTAACCAACTCAATAATACTCGATCAGTAAATTGTCATATTCTATATTTTACAGAATATTTCTTGAAAATTTTTCATATAAACACCTTTTGAAAGTGTCTTATAACACAGTTAATAGAACAATTTATTTTTTAAATTATATTAAGTTGTCTAATTTCATTATAAAAAGCTAATATAAATTTGTTAAATTGTCTATATTCTTTATAAAAGATGTAAATTTGTAATAAAGTTGCTTAACTTCCATAACAAATTACTGTATAAAAAGTATAGTTATTATTTCTGTAAACTTAAAAGTGTCAGTTAAATATTTTATTAAAATAGTTACATTTTGTTGTAGTATGTGTCTAGTACTAGGTTAATAGATTCTAGAGTAGATTACATTTTTGGTCCTTGTGGTTGTCAATAACCATCAAGTCTTGACTCTATATTGAACTAATACACTTAAGATCATTGTGGTTGTCATTTTATTTTGGATTTGGTCCCTCTAGTTTCCATTTTGTTCCAGATTTGGTTCATCTTGTTAGCTATGTTAAAAAAAAAACCTCAATGAAGGTAAAGGGCGTTTTGGTCTTTTTTACTTTTCTTCTAATTTTACCTATTTTTTGTTTTATTAGATTTTTTTTTGTCATTTTCTATTCTTTTTAATAAATTTTAGTGACGAGAGCATCAACAATCGACCACCGGTTGATGCATCCCATCCCACCTCACCCTCTCCGACTACTCCTCACCCTTCAGTCATCTTCTCCGGTAAACCTAAACACAAAAACCATCAAACTAGCCACTCACCAATTCTACCATCGAAAGTAAACCCATAAAATTGTCCAACTAAATGATACTAAATTCATATCAGATTGTCCAGCATCATCAAAATGGAAGGCAACAAAGCTTGAGACATCATGAGAACCGCCGGTTCCAAGCAAAGTTGTTGGATGTTCTAAACTAAGACCGGACATTTGAGTAGCTTAGGGACATAAACACCATGGAAAAGCTACAAATGAAACCAACTCCTACGACAACCTGTCCAACATTATCAACACCAATATAGCTCCCCTTCCATGGACACTAACAATGTCTACCATACCAGCTTCAAGATCAAATATCAACAAATAAAAAACAAATCAATCTGAAATAGATCCAAATCCATCTAGAACCAAAATAAAGAACAGTCTTTGCATATACTTTGATTCCTTGAGTTCTTAGAGTTGAATTGTGTGATGCAACCAAATGATCCTTTTAACCCCATTGATGCTAACCGGGTTCTTGAATCAAAAATCACAAAAATAAAACCTAACAAATTTGATAAACCACAATATATAAGTCAAAAAGCTTCAAATATGAAAATCAAAACTCAAATTTGACAAACCAAAATTTGGAAACTGGAAAACTTCAAATCTGAGAAACATAAATAAGAAAATTGAAAAGCTTCAAATTTGACAACCCCATATAAGAAAATTGAAAAACTTCAAATATGGGTTGAAAAAAGGAGAGCGGAGAATGGTGTTGTCAGCGTTTTGTCACAATGAGAGGGCATGGGGTTTGATCGTAGTCACCATGGAGAAGAGGGGATCTTCTAGTAAGGGTATATGAACCGTCAAGTAAAGGGGTGGGGGTACTTGTTGTGAAGAAGAAGGTGATGTGCCAAAAAAACCGTCGAACCCTATGTCCGGAGAAGGTGAACCGGCTCTTCAAGTAAGATGGCAGAATCAAGGGGTGTGGTACCACCAAAGTTATGTGGGAGAAGGGTGGGAATAGTCGTCGTGAAGGGGCGGGGTATCATCTTATTATGTTGGGGTATGTGTATATACATAATAACTTATTTATTTAAAATTAAAGAAATGATAAAAAGACCAAAACACCCTTAAGGTTAACAAACTTTTTTAACAGAGTTAGTCACAGGATCAAAAGTGTAACAAAGTGGCAACCACAATGATCAAAAGTATAATTAATTCAAAATAGAGACGAGACTTGATAGCGAGTGACAATCATAAAGATCAAAAGTGTAATTAGTTTAAGATATGAACAAGACATGATACTGAGAGATAATGGTAAGGAGGAAAAATTGTAATTTACTCTGGATTCTAATATCATGCTTTGGAATCAATTATAGCAATTTTTTTTATTAATTCAACAATATTAGGTTTATATATATATATATATATATATATATATATATTATATTATATAAAAATAAGATAATTCAAAAGTCTACCCGCTTCGAATTTGTTGTTGCGAATATCAAAACCAATCAATAATTTCCATTTTATTAATTTATCATCATTAATGTTAAATAATAGTTATATTTATTTATTTAAATACTTGAATAAAAGATTTCTATACATTTTATTTTTATGTGGGATGTGACATATTAATTAATTACCTCCATTTTGATGAAAAAGAGGGAAATTAATAATTAATAATATAAATTATATATACAAGTTGGTGTTTGATGTTTTAGCATCGCAAATTGGATGAGGAGGAGTAGGTTTTATTTGAGGATCCAGCTGTCTAAACTTATCCAAGTCAAATTCTTCATACATGAATTTAAAGCTACATTCATTTTTTGTTGAATTCTTTTTTATTTATTTATAAATATTATTAAAAATAAGACGTCGAATTATCAAGAAGAATTGCTTATCAATTGTTTTATCAAAAAAATAGAACATAAAAAGTTCATATATTAAAGCTCTATAAGAACTACTTCTTAATTCGTATGAGATGCATATTGAAGATTCTTTTTGTTAACCTCAGATGATAAATTCTACCCGTTTGAGAGATAATTATTATGCACCATTTAAAATTTAACATTTGCTTGTTTTCCAAATACGTTGTTGATTAGTCATTGACTTGCCAAAAAAAGGTGTACTTCGAGGAAAGTGAAGGTGAAGACTTTAGGAGAAAGACTTAACATACACGAACAGGGATGGACCTATTAAGAGTGGAGTAGGCTCATTGCAAAACAAAGGACTTTTATTGAAGATAATATTCATCACTAATCCGTTGCTAAAAATGGGATCTGTCGGTGAAAGTCTGTCAAAAAGGATATCGTGGATATCACCATTGTTCACATTCACCCATAGTACTCAACACCGACAAATCATTGACATAACAAATATTGACAGATTTCACCGACGGATTACCGGTGGATCACCAACAATCAAATTTAAATTTACCGATGAAAATCTGTCGGTAGTTATGTTTACTTCTTTTTTTTGAAATAATTGAGATTTAATTTTTTGATGGATCACCGAAAATATCTACTCATACTTGGTAGTTAATAGACAACAAAATCATATCTATTCATAAACTATATACATTTAGTATAATAGATGATAAATTACTATGTGATCCTGATGCCGAACGATACTAATCGATCCCCCATTGTGCCTTGACGACATCCCTCATACTAGTGGCTGGATTGGCCCTAGCGACCCTAGATTGATGCCTAAATGTGTCGATATTCCACACCTGTTAAGACATAACACATAAATTAGTATAAAAACAATTACGAAATATTACAAAGATTAAGTCACATACCTGATCAATCATATCCAACCAATGTGTCTCTAGGATCCAGTCCAGGGGTCCCCTGCGTGAAGTCCTGACCATCGAAGGTCACCCCATCTATGTTTAATGTTTGTCTCTTAGGCCCATTTGCATATATCTCTTATCTGGTCCGGGTACCTATTCTGCAAGGTACGCCACAAGGCATTGTAAACTTCCGCCTTCATCTGCGGTTCCCAGTTAAACTTACACATGCACATTATTTGTGTAAAGTAAAAAAATTGAAATAAACAATTTGCATTAAACTATATACAAACCCGAAAATGCTTGAACATGAGCCTGATTTGAGCCTCAGCGACATCTAGGGATGGCAAAAAGAATTGAAACGGACGGTGAAAACCGAACAATTTGGGTCGGGTTCGGTGATATCTTAACAGTGACATGGCAGAGATCGGGGATATTTTCGGGGATCTTAATGGGGACGGGGCCGATACTCACTATCCCGGCCTGATATATATATATATATATATATATATATAATATTTACTACAAGAGGTTATAATGTGAAAGCCCCAAAACCAAACTAAAGGCCTAAATCCTATTCCTATTTCCTAGTTCTTGTCATGATTTATTCCCAATGCTTCCTTGATTTTTATTTGAGAAATTTATGTTTTTTTTGTTCGGTTTCAGTTTCGAGTTCAATTTTGGTTTCCAGTATAACCAAAGGGTAACATCGGAATTTATCCTTAACGGGTAACATTGATTTTTATCCTTAACGGGTTCCCTAACGGGGATCGTGGAAACCGTAGGGACTCGATGGGGATCCCCGATAAGATCCCCGACGGGGATCAGGATGGTCATGGGGATGGTTATGGTTAACGGTTTTGAGGACGTAGACACTAAAAATCGGCCAAAAACTGGCCCGTTGCCATTCCTAGCGATATCCCTATAGTGAGCCTACAAACCAGTAAACAAGATTACAAAATATCAACACACAAGACATTAGTATCAATTTATTATGTAACACAATAAAAACCTTATACCAAATTTACATACGCGGTGCCTGCCACTTGGACGGATGACCACTGACTCAGATGCAAGGGGTTTGCATCATAGTATTAGGACCTCTAGTCCTCAACCCCGATCTAGGGGACGAGGCCAGAACCCCCATCCCATCCCCTTGTTGGTCTGGTCTAGTCCTTAGTGATAGTGCCTAGTCCATAATTATTGGACTCATTGACATGAGGGTCATCACGCTCGGCAGAGTTGCTACTACCCTTGCTAAAGCCTCTATCCCTATTACCACTTCCCATCTGAAAATAAGATATAAAGTCATTTTTGTTATCAAACAAAATGATAAGATAAAATAGGCTCATTTTCTTTATATGGATCATCATCCTTGTTTTCATATTCTTCTTCCTCATTGCTAGTTTCATAAACGTGAAACCCTCATTTGATATGCATACCCATTAAGGACATATGATGATAATGATCATATAAAGTGTATCTCGACATTGAAAGAAAACGAGTTTTAAATGAAATAAAAAGATTGTAATGATGACAACATTCCAACTGTAACTCATAACAAGACGAATCCTCAAGAGTTGCATAATCAACCGGTGGCTTCTTCAGTGGAACCAAACCATGTTTGGAGAAGCTTAAGCCAAAAAATCTCATGTCTTCTTTGGATAACCCCCACTTCAATTATGGTTCAGATGACGAGAAAGTTGATAAAATATACAAGTCTATAATTGTTAGAAAGAAACTGTAAAAAGAAAAATGGGAAATCGAGACTGATATGATTCATGAATTTAACAAAAATGATGAGCATATACAAGATTCATGTAAATCTCATTATCTTTGTTGAACTCTCTAATCGTATCCGTCTCGATTCTCCATCTTTATATTTGCGTTTTCTTTCTAGCAATTATAGACTTGTATGTTTCATCAAACTTCTCGTCATCTAAACCGAACTAGAGTTGGGGCTATTGCAAAAGAAAATATGAGAGTTTTAGATCATCTATTAGCATCCTAATAAACACATCGAAATTCTAATCGTGGATCTTTCTACTAGTAATGACCAATGCAAGTTTAACATTTGTATCTTTCAAACGCATCCAAGGAGGTAATTTGTAGATGGTAAGAAAGATGAGCCATAGTGAATACGGATTCAAATTCCAATTATTTGGTTGAAACCGTCGGTGCATAACCCAAGAAGAACATTCTGGACCTCAAAAGCAAAGGTATGATCATTCTTGTCAAAATTCTACCAAGTCACACTCACTTGGACCATACCATCAAACCTGGTTTTGTTTGACGATCGTAATGCCAAATCATCTCTTTCCCTTTTTTCTTCACACCATCACTAGGACCTTGCTTCATCCACTTGTCTTACAACAACTTCCATTGCATACTAGAGAGTGGGTCAACTTCCATTATATATAGACTTTAATCCAATTTACTTCAACACCCCAAATAAATCTCACTAAAAATCTAGTTTATTTGTCTAATCGTGAAATTGTGATAGTTGGATGATCTTTGAACTTCTATTTATTTTTATATTGTAATTTAAAACATTGAACGTAATTTTTTTGATTATTGAGACATTTAGACTTGCATTTTTTGAAAAAACTGTAATTTACTTTTAGTTGTGGAAAATAACATATTGTAATTTTTTGGGCAGGTTTTGGTTTCGATTTTATCCTTAATGGGTTCACCAACAAGAATTGGGGAACCCGTGGGGCCTCGACAGGGATCGGGGCAGTTGGTAGGATATTTTTCACACCCTTAGACTTATAAAATGAATCACAAAGCAAGTATACAATATGGTTAATTGTCGTCTTTTCCAAGTAATAAAGTGGTAAAAACCGAATATCGTCCATAGATATTGTAGCAAAGACTTAATAGGAGTCCAATGAAAGAGATGATTTCAGATAATGAAATTGAAGACTTCAGTTTGATTCTGAGTTAACAATGATAAAATAACAGAATATTAAAGGGTAGCATGGGTGTAAGACTTGTGGTGAAATGTAAACACAAATTCCAGCAGACAATGTTGTAGGAATGCTACAACATGCAGTAAGCCATAACTATCCACCATCTATTTTGAAAGTATTTCTCTCAGACTCCACCATTGCACTATATTATAGCTTTCAACCCATATCTCTATGTGGTATCCTGTTGGTCCCGGTTGGGTCTATAAAAGTTTTAGAGGAACAATTTGTAGAGTGGGGGGGATGAATACAAACATAGAAAACTTTCGTATTTAAAAATATATATTGATAAAGAAGGATCAATACATATTTTTTTACAGATTGTTTGCGAAAATAGACAAGGTAAAGATAACCTATCTAAAATAATCTAAGATTACACACAAATATACTTAGCAAATAGAAAAGATTTGCCGAAAAGATAAAGACAGAAAGATGTCTTCTTGGGTAAGAACTTTAGAATTCTTGAGAGAAATTCTAACTTGCTTGAAGATAAGCGTATATGTTCTTTAGATAGATGTGTGATCTCTCTTGTATGAAGTGAGCATTTAACTATTTATACTCATTGCATTAAATGCAAATAAGAAGGGTTGGAACACGTGTCAAGTTTTAAGAGGAAAGCTTGTCATTTGCAACAGTGAATAGTACATTTGTCTATTCATGAGCAGACATCCTTTTGTGGAGTTGGTGGGCACTAGAGTCGACTAGTCAGCTCCGTGCATTACTATACTCTTGAAAGGGTATGGGTTTGTCCTTTGTGTATGGAAGGACAAGACAAAAAGAATCGTGCATGGCAAGCTTCATTTGATTGCTGAATGCTAGAATAACGCTGGAGGTTTCTTTAGCATTCACTGAGGCTTGTGCAGTCTTCACACATATGTTGACCAAGTTGTAATCAATGAATACCGCTTCAGATCACGAACGTGGCAGTCACTAATCTTCAATTTCAGTCTTCGACATTCACTGAAGTTTCTTTGGTGTGAGTTTTGTCTTCTTGAAGTATCGCTGTCGTTGTAGGATTACAATGCGTGTTTCAACGATCACTGAACAGACTCAGTGATGATTGCTGGAATTGAAAAAACAGAAACAATAATACTTCAAAAGCTAGAAGGGATTATCATCAAATCAATGAGAGAGAGGATCAACAATCTCCCCCTATTTGATGATGACAAAGCAACATAAAGAAAATTGCCTTAAGATTTAATAGTAAGGAAAAGTTACATATAAAGTACATGTCCCTTTTAACTATTTTGGGATCTTTTTCAGTGATGCAGTCTTTACTTTATAAGTTTTCTTAAGTTACAAGTTTAAGAAAAGTATAAGAAGGGAAACTGAAACTGAAAGCATGTTCACTGACTAAAGATTCTCAGTGACTGTAAGAGCATACTGGAACTCATAGACATGTATCCCTATTACTCTTTTTAGGGATCTTTTTCAGTGAGGCTGATGAAACTTATATTAATCAAAAGAAAATTACAAGTGTTTCAGTCAGTACATTTCTACTTATTACATATAAGTTGTACACTGAAAGAAAAGACATAGAAAAATAAGATATACAATGAAAGATAAATTTACAAGACAAAATTTCATAACTAATCTAGGTTGTTGAACTCGATGTAACCAGGTGCTTCTTCTCCAAGCATCTTTCGACGTAGAAATTCTCTTCAGATTTTGTGGTCCATCATTTCACCATAGATATCATTGTTCAACCAATACCTTAGATAATCAAGGTGTTATATGGGACAAATATTAAACTCATACACTCTCTGGAAACTGTGTTCGCCTTCATAGTCAAGGAAAATAAATCCAAACCCAGGCTTTAGATGCACAATATTGGGTATGTAAGGACCCGTCGCTGGCAAAGAAAGGTTCAACATGGAAATGTTTGGCTTCTTTGAATCCTTCAGGACTTCGTCCAAGGAGAACTTTGTTTCATGTTCATTCCTCAGAGTTGGTCCATCGTTAGGACTTGAAGGTTTTTCTTCTTCCACCTTTATTCAGTGACAACTTTGTAGGTACATCAACGAACTTCGACATCTACTTGATCAACTTGCTGAGGATGTCTTCAATCATTGGCTTGTGCTTTGAATTTGAGCACTGAATGGCTTGGCAGATTTCTAACCATTCACTATAGCCATACTCACCTAGGTAGGAAGGATACTTTGTGATAGCTTTAAGGTTGTCTTTGGTGATAAGTATTGAGAGAAGAAGTCCACCATCTTTCATCCGTCCACTGACCATGACATTTAAGATGCAGTGAGGACTTATTCTCTTGTTCAGACGATCTTCATTCCATTTTTTATCTCGGTCGTTCAGCTTCATTGCCTTTTCATGTTCAGCCTCTGCAATGGAAATCAACTTAGCTTGGGCCTTGACAACGTTCACCATCTTTTTAGACTTTTTCTTTGGAAAAACTTGAACAGGAAGAGACTTGGCCAGCTTTATGCTGTCATTAGTCTTTTGACATTGAAGATTGGGTTCTTCCTCAGCCTTGAGTGCCTCGAGTCTTTCAGCTTCGGACAAGAAGTCAAACTCACCACAACTATAGGTACGAAGAGAAATTTTTACTCTAGTTTGGTCGAGTGACTCCTTAAGCTGAGTCATCTGCTGGTCACTAGGAACACTGAAGGTTGGGTTTTCAAATACCCATTCCTCTAGCCGACCGCAGGTAGTAGAAGGGACAGAAGAGAGTTGACAAAAGGAAGTGACAATAGCAAACCTGGAGGATTCTCTACTTTGAGGCATGGCAGGTTTGAAGAGTATCTTGAGATTTCCTTCTTCAACAACATGTTTGTCTTTTGATACGGTGTTCTGGTTCTTTGTGGAAGTCTCCTTCTCTTTTTCTTTCTCTTTCTCCCCCTAGGATGAAGAATCCCTGAGAGAGACTCCTTTCAGAGAGCTGGCAGGTTTGTGGTATTGAATCGTGAAGTCGTCATCTTCATCATCATCACCACCGAGATCCTTTCCAGCGTCATGAAGGGTTGGAGAATCATCATCATCTTCATTGTTATCGTCTTCATCATCATCGCCCTTATCACTAACATCAGTTGCAGGGGTGATAGGAACGTCTTCATCACGAGCTTCAGCCTCAGCTCTGACGGCTTCATCAATGACTTCAGCTTCATTAGCTTCATGGGAAGTGATGGTTTTATCAACAACCTTAACTTCATTAGCTTCATCTCCAGGAGCATTAGCTTCAGTTGAAGAGACAACAACAGCAACAACATCTAAATCTTTCTCCCCTTCTTTGTTATCAGCATGACTAGAGAAAAGGTTATCAAGACTCAGTGCTATGATGTCCATCCGCTGTTCAAGCTCGCTCAGTGATCTAGCTTGAAGAAGACCGACTTCGGGAGCCTGATCCAGCGTGAGGCAATCCATCGCTGTGAAGGAGGGGATAGGACCTGGTACTGGATGTTGGAGGAGCTATAGTATCTGCTGCAACAGCTCACCATGCTTGGCAAGCTGAGTATTCGCTTCATCGTGTTTGCTGGTTAGAGCAGAGATAGCCTCAGCGTTGGTGTGTGCAACAACTTGCACCGCAGAAAGCTATTCCTTGATCTCATTGACGTTGCTTTGACAGCTGAGAGGTCAGCATAAACTTCATCCCTGAGAGGCATGCCTTTATGGACTTCATCCATTTTTATGAAGATAGTCTCTACGGCGGCGAGTAGCAGCTTCACATCATCAGCCATGTCATATTTCTCTTCCTTGGTTGGCATTCCTTCGTCGCAAGGACCTGAAAAAGAAGATGTTTGAGCATAAGATAGCTCGGGGTTAGAAGAAATGAAAGGGTAGGATGGAGGATTACCTAAGGGTTCATCAGCACCATCTGAAGGATTGATACTGGTTCTCTCCAGGTTGCGTTCGAGAGGATAGGTGTTCATTAACTGAGGTGTTTCGAGAGGAGCAACCTCAGGTCCTGTGGTGGGTGCTTCATCATCAGTGAGGACAATCGCTGATGAGTCATGAGCACGTTTAGAGACCAAAGAAAGAGGAGAAGAGAAGATGGCTGAGACTGGTGGAAGTGGGTGTTCAGTAGTGGCTATGCTGATATTCACACCTTCAGTGATTTGGGTCATTGAGGTGGTTGGGATCGGAACCACAGGTAACTATGGAGGCTTGATCTCTATTTTAATACAATGAGGTGGTGGGAATTAAAATAATTAACCACACTCTCCCATGAGATAAAACAAATATCTCATATATAATAACATTTAGGTAGTGGGGATTAGTTTAAATGTTTAAGCACATACACAAACTAAAAACCCTTCCACTTACCATCACCTTTCCAAATCATCTCGAACTTTTATATCTGAATACCCGATTATCACATAAAGCCAAACTATGGTTTATATAAAAAGGAGGTGTTTTGAATGACTCTAAAACTCTTCGTGTAATGGCTTGAATATTTCAAACTCAAACCGTAGGTTAGAAGAATTTAGAGAAGATTTGGATGACTTAAAAATCCTAAGTGCAACAGTTTGACTATTTAAATGTCTTTTAAATGACTTTCAAACTCTGAGTGTAATAGTTTGACCATTTGAAACTCAAACCGAAAGTGTAAATGAAGTTATGGGTTTTTTGGAAGTTGCTGAATGGTTTGGTGGAAGATGATTAAATGGTTAAAATGATTAACGAACTCTTATGATATTGTGAAAAATGAAATATAATTGTTTGGTAATTGTTCAAAATGAGTTAGGGCCCTAAATGGTTAAGGAGGCCCATGATACAAAATTATTTAGAGGGTTTTGAAACCATTAAAATGCAGACTTTTTTTTACGAAACAAGATTCACTTCTTAGCGATTTAGACTATCTTTTAACGAAACTATTAAAAGGTAAACAAACAGCCCCTTGAGGTCTTTTAAATGACTTTAAAACCTTACATGTAATGGTTTGGTTATTTGAATGTCAAACTGTAGGTTTAAATGAATTAAGAGAACATCCCATACCACTGAATCGGAGGTTGTGGAGGACGAAGAAAACATCATGAAGACTATGACCAATGATCTGAACCGGCCACTAACCAACACCGATGTTACTGAAGAAGAGTCGTTGAACGCTTTGGGCACTAAGGTCGAGTCACAACATATCACCTCCATGGATACTGATTTGCCCAAAACCCTTCTACTGATGTCGATGCCTAGAGAAAGAGTGCTAAGAAGCCGAAGCGAAAATGTCGAGGATGCAAGAGCAACTTCAAAAGTGGCTACGAATCATCCAATAATGTAAAGAAGTGGTGATAAGGAAAAATGAAGAAGAGGAGAGAAAAATGAGAGATGAGGTTAAGAGAAAAAGGAAAGAAGATAAAGAAAGAAAAAGAGAGAGGAGTTAGAAAAGAAAAAGAGAGAGGAGGAAAAAAAATTCCATCAGGAGTTCGATGAGAGAAAAAAGAGAGAGGCTGAAGAAAGATTTCAAAGGGTAGTATAGAGGAAAAAAGAAAGGATGAAGAAAGAAATAAAAGAAAAGAAAAGAGGAGGCTCAGAAAAAGGATAATGAGAGAAGAGAGGTTGAAGAAGGAGAGACAATGTCAAAGAAGAAGGCTTCCAAAGTTAAAGGATCTTGTTGGGGGATGAGAGTGCCCGGTTCACCTTTCTCTGGGTCGTCAGTTCTGCAGTGCCCACTGTGGCCAAAGTAAAATTTCTTCTTTGGACTTTGATGATTTTGCTGATTCCCCCTACAAATGACTTTGGGGATGATGAAGAAAGTTCCACCATTCCTCCTAGTTTCAAAGAGCCTACTGGGTCCCTATTCGGTGGGAAGTTGAGGTAGTTCACCACTCATGCCGCAACAAACCAATATGTAGTCCTCACAAACCAACAATTGAACATGGAGAAGGGATTTGATCCTAAGTTTTTAAGAAAACCCCATTTGTCAAAACTTGGGTCAAAAACAACAAAAATGGGACTCCATTATCGCCACCGCTCGTAGAGCCAATGCCTCACCTGTCTAAGAGTTCTACGTCGAAGCCGCTGGGGAAAGAGGCACCAAATATAAGATCTATGGCCACTGGGTGCGATACGATGTCACTATTATCAACCGAGTCATTGGCCTCAAGAAGCCCGAATATTGTGCCTTTGCCACTCTTATGCAAGGAAACACCAAGGACAAAGAAGATAAAACCGTTGCTTCTTTGACCATCCATGGCAAGTCATAGGAGATCCATGGCAAGAGGAAATGCCTTCCTGCTAACAGTCTCACCATTGAGGCTGCGGTTTCGTTCAAATTCCTTCACCACAACCTCTAGCCAACGATGCACGATGCCACACTCTCCAAAGACAAATGTTGCCTTTTGTTTTGCATCATAAAAAATTTGCATATCGATCTTTGTTTCCTCATAATCATAGCCATTTACCAAGCATAGACATAAAAAAAAGTACGTCTGCCCCTCCCATGTCTTATTACTGCACTAACTTTGGATGCTGGAGTTCCTAGTACAAAAGGAGATGTGGTTAGCCACCTCCATTAGCAATACCACTTTAAAGTGGATTAAGCGTCCTACCACTGCTAAACTTAGAGAAGTCTTAGTCACCAACCAAGTGGCCACTAGCGTACATCTGTCTGGTGCCCTCTGGCTAATGGAACCATGAGAGACATTCTTCTGAGCTTAAAGACATCAACAATAGGTTGACTATGATCGAAGATTGCATGAGAGAAGAGGAGAAAATAGTAGAATACGTTTAGAGCTATACTCATGAACGGGAGCTCATGCTTAAAAAGTAGCTCACCATGCAAGATCCCATCCTTGCTCAAGCTCTTTCCTCTAGGTAGGTGCCCCATTCCTGGCCCAGGTAGTTCTCAAACAAAAGACATGACAGTGAACTCTCCTGAAGATGATCCATTTACCACCCCAATGCAGTTGATCTCATTGATGGTTCTTAGGGTCTGTTGTGCCCACTCTATGCTCATGAACAATTTTTAATTATGTGTTTATTGTCTATTTATTTTTGTTGACCATCACGATACTTGCTTTGCTTTTCCTTGGTCTTGAATGCATGAGTTCCCTACTTCTGAAGTGGAGCTTTTGATTACTATCTGCTTTTATGTTTGAATTTTGTTAACTCAATGAGCCAATACTTAAGGGTCTCAAAACATAATAACCTGCCTTCTAAAGATTTAGACCCTTAACTTGTCACTTTGAAATGAAATAGACCTCCTTTACTATAAACTAAAACTCAATACATGCCGCTGTGTACCCTTTAGTCCACTTATTGTGTTCTCTTAGTCACAATGACATCGTGAAGTTTTAGTTTGGGGTTGATCTATGGTCACTACCCTTATCCGAATAAACCTAGAGTTTTCACAATTGCAATTCTTGTACCCTTTATTCAGAAGCGAAGAATGTCCACTTCATAAAAGAATGTTGAAAATGTCACAAAAATCCCAAATAAAAAGTATGGGATGACCTAAGTTCCAAGCAGGTTTGGGGAATCCTCTCCTGTATGAGAAAACATGTAGTAGATGCTGTCAAAAGGGACATAATCATCGAGATTGTCCAAGTACGTTACCAGCCGATGAAGAGATTATGAGAGCGGCTAGGAGGGCATCCCGTAGCCACAAAAAATCGACTATGCATAAGTTTGATTTAAATAAACCTAGTTAGAAAAACATTTTCCATTTGTTTTTCTTTATTAATGATCAAATATTATGCACTTGTGTTTTTTGCATGTGTTAATTTACTAATATCATATATGTATTGTGTTTTATTAATACTATGTAATAAGTAATCCTTCAATACATAACTTAACCATTAATACATAGATACTAACGCAACAACATCAATGAAAACACTTGACAATGCGTAGGATGTGCATAGAAACTAAACATACACGTTAATTGTCGTCTGGATAGAGTGCTTTACACGATTCAATCCAATATTTTCTTTCATTTATCATTTTATGCATCATGGAAAACTATTTAGCAATGTCATCGTCACGTACATTATCAGCTCTAATATTTTTTTCTAGCTTCTTTATAGCTCTTCGCTTCTCTTGGATCCCTTTGATGATTTTATCCTAATTCTTCCTTGTTACTCCACCATGTATCACCTATCTCATTGATCTCAGCTTCAACCTTTTCAATTGATAACTTCATCCTGGTAGGCATGATTTGACAAGACGAAAGATTTGATGATGATGCGTTTCCAGCCATTTGTGGTAAGTATACAACTAATTGTTGAAGACTGAAAATGCTTTGTAGAGATTGTGGTTGCACAATTCTTGTAATAAATTCATCAACATAAGGTAGATATATATATACACCCAAATACTGACGCGACAACTGATATGAAATGACAACTCAATATGATAATTTCAATTTTCATTCCTATCCTTCCCTTTAGATGGATGTGAACTCTTCAGCTTCTCATATTATTTATAAC